ACGCGGCCGGCGCCACGGCGCAAGCGCAGGACCGGGGCTTTCCCGAGGCATGGTGGGACTTGTAGTCTGGAAGGGGGAGCCATACAAGAGAGGGGCCTGACTCTGCAGCCCCCTCGTGTTCCTTCTCTTTCCCCCTTTTGGTGGGGACGAGGATTGCTCATTTCTGGTTTTACTTAATTTTATTGTTTGTTTGTTTTTTACTTAATACTTGTTTAATTTAAAAAAAAAATGTGGTAGGCTTGCTGTTTTTAGCCTTTACGTATATTGTCTTTTTCACCATGGAAGCCACCTTGGGTCCTTTTAAAGAGAATGGTGGGGTAATATTTTAGACACATAAATAACAAAATAAGCCCAAGGGGACAAACGGGGATGGTTAGGTAGCGACTTAGATAAGAAATGGTCAAAGCCTGAGGTTCAGAATATACAGGATGAGAGCCATTTTTTGGGGGGGGGGAAATATGTGGGTTTACTTCATTCCCCCCCTTTTGAGGCCTGCAGACCAGGCGTCATGGGTTTGAATGCTTGCTAGTTTTCCCCATTCATACTCAAAACCCCCCAGGGCAGCACTTTTGACAGGTCCCTGTATTTTGGCAGGTGTGACGGGGACCCCGAATCTCCGGGCATCCGCTCCCTTCTGTGGAACTGAAACAAAGGCCAACTGTTTATATTTTGCTTTTTCTGTTTTATTTAAACTAGGCTGCTGCTGAAGGCGAGGTAAAGGAGGAGGTAGGTGGCTGCTTTTAAGGCTCTTATCATCCCAGACATTTGGTCCCTGCTTTTTTGCTCTTATGCTCACTTGTATACAGGGGATTTTTTTCCCCAAAAAACGTTGGCACTGGCAGAGATTTTCACCAACCTTTCCAGGGCAAAGCAAAGGTTGGTCGTGGAGCTCGGCTTCCCACACCAGTTTTCCTTAATCCTTCAGTAGGAACAGAGTTTGCTAAAGAGGTGGGGTAAGAGAGCTAGCTGTCCATTTGTGGGTCTCTCTCTCTCTCTGCCCTTCCTCAGCCTTATCTTGTTCTGCACCAGTAGCATTTGCGGCTAAAGCAACGCTAGACAACTTCTTTGCCAAAGCAGGGTTAGATCATTTCTCCGGGATTTCAGTGGTGGGCAAAGCAAGAGGGTGAAGCCTAAAACAGCAGGGTATTTTAGGACAAAGATCTTATTGCCGGCGGCTACAAACTCCAGAATGGGGGAAAACCTACAAAATCTGGGGAATTATAAAACGGGTATCATGGGCAAATGGACACGGACAGGTGGAGAAGCCCCCAAGGGCCAGGAGGGCTGGAAGGTTCCCCAGCTTCTGGGCCAGAGAATCTGGTTCAGGGTAAATTCGACCTCTTGTATGCTATTCTACAACACAAACATTAAGTTTGTGAATATTGGGGGATGTTGTGAAATGTGAAGGACATAAGCATGTGCCACATCCCTTGCCATTCTTATTTCACTAGCAGAACTTTTTGAGGATTTGAGTTTTGCCCTGTGCTTGGAAACTCGAATCAAGACCAGCTTCTTGAACCAGAGTTGGCTTACTTGTGTATTAACTTAAGTAATGAAACCAGCAGAAAATGTAAAAATGGGAGTAATTTCCTTTCCTGGCCCTTAAGTTAACCGTGATCTAGGTTCAGCCTAAATCCAATAATCCCAACTGCAGTTGACCCACTGAATGAATGGAAATGATCCCCATTGAACCAGGAAGGGAACAAACAGTTGAATTTAGGCCTAGGATATAGTTAATATAATCCTGCTTGTGTGTCGTGATACACAAAGATTAAGAAGTTTCACTGTAACAGAACACAGGTTTAAGAACCCCCTGAATTCTTCCATTACAACATACAAGAAAAAGAAAATAACATAGGCACAATAGCTTGTATTGGTCTGGTCTAGTCTAGTCATGATTCACTGAATGGAGATGGTTTAGTGTCAATATGATTGGAGTTCCCTCAGGGTTATAAACATGTATTTTTGTGCTATGATATGACCGTACCTGATAAGGGGTTTGTCTGGAAGTTAGAGCCCAACAAATTTAGTGGGAGTTGCATGTGCAGAAAACACAAACTGTTTCTGTTACTTCATATTTCTATTGTAAGGGTGCCAGTGTTCAGTTTTGGTGACTTGTCCTTCTTTTGTGCAGCCAAAGAGAAGATCGGCTAGACTATCTGCTGTGAGTAGCTTTCCTCTTCCCTTTATTTCATGTTGCACTTCCAGTACATTGATGCTGATATGGGAAACTTCAAACTATTTGTTTCTAAAAGCATCTCGGAGACAAAAAAAAAAAAGAGAGAGAGAGGTTCTTACCTTTGTTAAATGTCTGATGGGGCTGGTGTACAAGTGGTGAATCCTGAGGTGTCTGGTTCAAGACTCCCTTCAGCCATGAAGTCAGAATACGACCCACAAGATGAGCCATGCACCTGAAACGACACGGGCCTGTTGTTGAAAATAGCAGTGCTGCATAGGAGCCCTCATTCAGCATACACCCATATTGCAGGGCTCTGAAAGTTGCTGAATTCCACCATTGCAGCTGGTGAGAGACTGGGAAATGTAATGTGTCAGGGTATAGGATAAATGCAACTAGACTTGAAACATGATCTTGATATGAAAATTTCTACTCTGCCTTTTTTTATCAGCTAGGATGAAGATAGTGTCATTGTGTCTGTGTGTGTTTTTAAATAAAATCTTTTGCTTAAAGCTATCCAAAATAGATATAAATCCTGTTGCAGCAAGAGAGCAAATCAAGCTAAAACTAATTTAAAAGTGATGCCTGGTTTTAGAAGTGTGCGTTGAAGTCGGTAGACAGCCCTATCACAGGATGTAATTCCAAGTTCTGAGTACTGAACCCAAAGAGACCATGTATTTTTTGTTTATTGCATCTCTGACCACCAAGCCCTGACCAGTCATTCGGGGGGGGGGGGATTTCTGTGACATGTCACACTTTCTCTGCAACCTATAATGGAACTCATAAGCAAGTTTAAACATGTTTTTGAGTAATCTGGGCTTTCTCACCAGGTTACTCATAAACATGTCCAAACCCACTCATAAACTCAAACATAGGCTGCAAAAAAAAATGTGACATGTCATAGAAATCCTCCCCCTAGTCATTACATATGTGGCTCTCGGTGACACACTTAAAGAGGAGCACCTACCTCTTTCTCTCTCCATCATTGCTGTCTCCACACAGAGAACAATGTGTCTAAACAGAAGAGTCTTGCTCCAGGGCAGACTCTTATTTGTGAGTAAGAATCCCACTTTTCTAGCATATGAGGGAGACCTTTCTCCACTTTGGACACATTGCTCTCCATGTGGAAAAAACAAGAGTGAAGAAGGGAGCAGCTACCAATTCATTTCTAAGCATGCTGCTGAGACCCAGGTAAGTAATGGCTGAAGAGGGCTGAGGAGAAGACTATAATTGCAGTGGTTAGGCTTTTAGGAAGAAAACGTCAGTAATGTACTCCCAGAATTTAAATGTCATAACTATTATCTTGGACAGAGACAAGAAACCAAACCAAACCTATAATGCTAAAAAGACTGGAATAATAAGATCTAGTTTGCTGCCACCAATCAAAACCTTAATATGCTGCATATCCAGTGACATTTCAGGATTCTCTGTCAAGGCTGTTAATGAATGTTCATAGCAGTCCAGAGTAGAAGAAAGTAGCTCAAGACTAACCCAGGGGTCATGTGCGCCCTCCAGATTTTTCTACACCGTTACTGCAATCAGGAAAAAATGTATTGCCGTTTTGGGAAACTTTCAGGAGTGGGGATTCGCCTCTGAAATAGGTCACCCTTCCCCATCACTGTTTAACATCCCTTTTCAAAAAAAAAAAAATCCCAAACCACTTTCTCAAAAATAGAAGTGGGCTTCTGGCCACTTCTGAGTTCATTTTGTTGACAGTTTGGGCATTTTGCTACCTGCATAGCCTCTGCAACGTCCTGGGATAGAAAACTGGTCCCCAGACCTGATGAAGTTGCCCACCCCTGGCCTAGAGCACAAATCTGCGCTTTCTGAGAAAACATACAAGTCTACATGGTATAAAATTGGTTAAGGGCACTTGTGGCATAGCCATTATCTCTCTCTCTTTAGACTTTTATCAAAATCAGGAAAACTTGCACCAAAAGTCCTAGCCTAATATTAAGCATGCTAATGTTAGCTTACTTTGCAGCAATTTATTTTAATTTGCTAATTATAAGAAGAGGAGGGGGAAAAGGCACTGATCAGTTGAGGAAATCTTCCTAGACATTTTTGGCTTCTGAGGTTTCGTTAGGCATTGCCTACGTGTTTAGAAGCCAGTAATAACAGCTGTGGGGCCTGGGAACTTGGTATTTCATTTGTTTTTAAAAGTTAAGAAGTTTTCAAAGTTGAGTCTGTTAGAGCCAACCAAAGAGCTATAGTTGCGCTGTTTCTCTTAGGACACACCTTAATCATTGTGCCTCTCTTCCAGAAACCTGCTCCACCTAAACCAGAACCAAAACCCAAAAAGGCAGCACCTAAGGTAAATGATCTGCAGCCCAGCTTCCGTGTAACTCTATGTCAGCCTGCTTTCCCAATGTTAACCTTGATTTTCTTACCTGCTTTCTTTCTCTCTGTTGAAATGTAAGTGGCAGGTTTCTGAAAATCAAGCACCAGTCTCCCCCTCCCCCTTTTTTTCTTACAGTATTAAGTAAAAGCACTTATACATTGACTGTGCAATAAGTAGCATTAAACTTCTGTATCTCCTAGCGTCTAAAGCCTAGTGCCTGGGGATTTTCTGAAGCCCTCAATTCCATCCATTTTTTAAAACAAGTGCAAGCGTAGCTCATATTTTAAAATTTCAATCTGAGATTAAGCTCCCTTGCTTTGCTTACTTCAGAGGCTGTAAAGTTGATTTTTGTGGCCTGGATTCCAGGGCAACGGCATTGCAGCTAGTCCTGACACATCCAATGCAGTGCTGCAATTTATATATTCCTGAATTCATTTTGCTGACGCCAGATGCAAACAGGAAATGCTATTTACATGTAATTGGCCAGTGAATGGCACTGTAATCATTCAACCTTGGGGGCAGGGTTACCTGTATATCATCATCTCTCGCCACAAGCCTAGTGCTTTCTGTTTTCAGGTTTTGACCTCTGTGTTTCTAACCAGATTCAATAGAAAGGTGGTTTCCACTTGTGTCTTCTGGATGCTTTCATTGGGAGCAGGCACGAGGCTGTCTCTCTTGCATTCATGGAAAAGACCACCAAGATGGGCTAATGCTTGAAATCTGGATTAAAAGCTTCCCTGATAGCATATAAATTCTTGTAAGCAGTTTTTGGTGCATAAGTCCATCTTGAGAAAAATGGTAGTTACAATGGGAGTTTTTCATTAATTATGAAAAATTTGTTGACCTTCACATTAATGTAATATTAGTCCAGCAATGGTTCCTCCCTCCCTCTCGTAATTTTGATGTAATATTAAAAGCTGAACTACTCATCTCATACGTAACTGGTGTTTTTAGAGATTATTCAAAAGTTCCCTTCCTGCTTGAGCTGTAGAACTTTTTTTAGTCACTGACAAAAGATTGACAATAAAATGCCGACTGTGCCTGCCCCTTCTTCCAGAAAGAAAAAGGAGCAAATGATAAGAAAGAGGACAAGAAAGTAGCGGCAAAAGGGAAAAAGGGAGCCAAAGGAAAAGAAGAAACTAAGCAAGAAGATGCTAAAGAAGAAAACCACTCTGAGAATGGAGACACCAAAACTAATGAGGTAGTTTTATATACCTTGCAGTTCTGAAAGTGAAATGCACCCATCTTGGAACTCAGGATCAGAAATTTCAGAGGGAAATAAGTGATGGCTTCTTTCCACCTACCCCTCTTTCTTTGACATCTTATATGGCCTTGGAGGGCTGTCAGTTCTGCATAATCCTAGAGCACATTCCTACAAAGAAGGCACAGAGTGTGTGGTGATTGGCCAGGCATTCCCTTACGAGCTGTGGTTGCCATTCTCATGATCACACTGATGCTCCACCTCTCCAGGCCCGTTAGCTCCCCACCTTTCTCGGTTCAGCTGCCTTCCACACTGGCGGTAGTTTCCCATCAGGCTGCTTACTTGACAGGCACGGTTTCCTTGACGGTTACAATCTTCCTGTGCACTTGTCTATATCTGGAGTGGTTCCCAAGTGTGCAGAAGCCACGACTATATTTTTGAGCTGCTCTGTTTTGCTTCATAACGGACAGGCACCATCAGAGCTTGCACTTGGTGGACCCTGGCACTTAAATCTGCAGTTCTCAACCTCTGGATATCGTCCACCCCACCAACCTGGTTTCACTCCGATAGAAACAGTAACCCTGTTCTTTTCATTTAAAGGACATTTGTATGTTTGCAGGCACTGCATTACTAAGTGTTTAAATGGTGGATTTTAAAGACATAACAAATGCAGTCGTTTTGTTGAGAATAATCAAGCCCAAACAAAAGCAATCATTCCCTTAGTAACAGAATTGCAGAATGTGAAACTTCACTGGCAAACACTAACACGCAAATAAATTATTCGTTATTACTGTGAAACACCACGTGCTCTTTAGATGACTGTTCTTGAGAACCAATGATTTAAAAGAAAATTGTGCGTGGTACCTGTGCTGTTCTTTATAAGACTGACCTTTGGCATTAGGTCCAGAATTCACTCACGGAAGGCAGTGTGATTCGGTTGGATGAGAAAAGGCTGAATTCTCGTACATTCCGAATGGTTTTTTGGTACCTGGTCTTTGCTTATTTTTAAATGCAAGAATATAATATTTTTTTCTATAAAAATATGTAATTCCTGTTCTTCTTAAACGTTGACAGGCACCGGCTGCTGACGTATCTGATGAGAAGGAGGCCAAGTCCGAGTAACAAACTTAGCTCTCTTCATTTCCATCATTCGGTATCTGTACCTTCATACTGTATTGTTAAGAGAGGAATATTTTTATCAACTATTTTATAAATGCAGGTTTTTTTAGCATGGAATTAATTATGGAACATCTTCATCTCGGCTACTTGGGACTTAAACCAACAAAACAAAATCATTGTTTTTTTAAAAAAAATTGTGATTGTCATAGTTTGTATGGTACCTGGAAAAAAAAATCAGTGGTGGTAGCTATTGAATTCTGTCAGTATATAATCCCTTTGTGTATAAGTCATGCAGACTTCAGATTGTAATTTCACCCTTGTTATGTGTCGTATGTTTTCTTAACGTGGGGAGGTCTCAAAAATAACAACATAATTGTGTTAGACATTCCGATGGTTCTGTGGGTTGCTTTTATAAAGAAGGTGAAATATTTTCATGAAAAAAAAAAATCCTTAGAAGCTGGAAATCTTGTTGTATCCCAAATGTAGTTTTATTTTGTCACATTTTGGAGAATAATAATAATAATTAAAAAGTGTATTCATGTTTTTAAATGAAATACAAAAAAATTCTTTAAAAAAAAGAGAAGCGCAGGCTGACTGAATATACCCACTGTTAGGAATTTTTCTGGATTTATCTTAATAAAAAAAGACTCCTCGAAAAATGTGTTGTTTGTTACTTATGTTGCAGCTTTGTATTCCTGCATATAGCCAGCCTATTCTTCTGGGAAGACAGACAAGAAGGGTGCGTGTGTACCTAAGTGGGATTGATGTTCTTGGCAGGAATCGGCATTAAAATTTGCCCTCTTTTCTGACTTAAGACACTGCAGTTGACACGGGTCCTGTGGGTGGGACTTTAACTTCAGCTTGCCTTATGGTGATGCCCACATTCCAGTTTGTGTAGCCTAAGAATGTGGACAGGGTTCTTGAAAAGGTGGCCATCACCACATGGTTACTGGATCCTTGTCTTTCCTAGCTCACTGAAGTAGTTGGGGGGGACTGGCTGTGTGGACATCATTATACAGGGCCAGATTCCAGCCTGCCTAAAAGGCAGTGATAAGATCTTTATTGAGTAAGCCCTCCCCCCCAAGCAACATGATACACAGTTCTATTCCTGAGCAAAGTTCTCGAGTGTGTGGTTGCTTCTCAGCCTGCAGAGTTCCTGGATGAGACATATGTAGATCTCTTTGGCTGCAGGCACGGCTATAGGATGGAGACACGCTTTGATTGCCTTGATGGACAATTTTGCGTCTGGGCGAATCTGCTTTTGCTTTAGCTGGCAATCCTGTTAAAGCCCTGGGTGAACTCGGGAATAAAGAAATGGCCAGGGTGGTGGATACAACTTCTAACTTTCCCTCCCCTGAGTAAAACTAGATTTGTCCTAGGGAGCTGGAATCTGAGAAACAAAGATGGCAGATACCAGAGCAACAACAGCAGAAAAGTCAAGAGTAGGTCCACCCAAAAACAAATGGACAGAAGATTTGGTTTGCTTAGTTGCTCCCAGATGTAGGAGAAGATAGAAATGAGCAACTGCATTGGCTCTCTGGTTCATTCACATGTTGAAAGGGAGGCAGAAATAAACAGTGTGTATTAGCACAGTGCCTTATTCATAAATTACTGCAATATCAAACCAAAGGAGACTACATGTCTTTTGAGAAAGGTTTGTTTGGGTGATGGTGTCATTACAGGCATGTCAAATGACCGTATTTACAGAACTCCCAACATGGAAGGAAGAGGCACTGCACAGTAAACCAGCTCCGCAGTAGAGTCGTAAAACTAGACTGCTTGGAAATACTTGAGGATTTTTTTTAAAGTGCATATATAAGCATAGGCAATTTTATGGAAGTCAATGTCCTTGTTTGCTTTTTTTTTTTTTTTCAACTAAGTAGTCAGCCTATTTTGAAATCACATTAGGAGGAGCCTCGTCCTGCAATACTGACTTCTATTTCTGGGCTACATGAGGATACAGAAGGACAGGAAGGATTTCACACATACATAATCCTTTCTTCCAGGCTAGGATGAGGAATCTGCAATTGTCCCCAGATGGTGTGGAATTCCAGCTCCCACCAGCCCCAGGCAGAATGGTCAATGATCAGAGATTAAGGCAGTTCTAATGATGGCTGAAGGTTCACAGGTTCTCTACCTCTGCTTTATGACAGAAGAATCATTACGAATACGTTACACAACTGTATAAAGGGATGTGGAGCAGGAATTAGGAGCACGGTCTTGCTTGCGACCCAATATTAACTTGAGGGCTCCAGTGATCAACATACCCAATTTAAGGAGTTTTGATAGCCCCACCCTCTAGTATTTAAGACAGAAATCACAGACTCCAGTAAGCAATAAATGGATGTGTGGGTGTTATTTTATAATTACAGTGAAAGATCAGGGGTAAAATAAAAAGAGTAGAATGAGCAATAAAAGTAAGAAAGAAACTAAAGATAGCAATTAGTTTAAAATTACAGCAATAACATTTTAGGCACCAGAATAAATTTACAGCCAGGCTGTAATGATAAATATATTTTAACACTGAAGTTATTAAATAAGATGTGTATAAAAATAGAGATCTTGACTTTAATAGGAAGTCAAGAGAGAAGAAGCAATCTACCCTAATGTAATATAATTATGTGCTGCAGAGTCACTTCTCACTTATGACAACATCTACTGAGTTTTCTAAGTATAGAATATGCAAAACTGGTTTACCATTCAATTCTAAGGGGCACTTGGAGACTGTGCAGGTTGCCCAAGGCTACACAGGCTGGCTCTACGTCTAGAAGGCACAGTAGGGAAAACTAAACTCTCACACCTGACTCACGGAGCTATCCAGCCTGCTTAGTGCTCCTGGCTGCTATAGGAAAAGATGGGTGGTTACCTGTAACTGTTTCTTTGGGTAGTTATCTGTGAACCTTAAAATACACGCCAGCTAATGGCTAAATGGGCCCACTGGCATTTTCAACATCTGAGCAGACCCCTGCCAGACAGGTTATATGGCAGCCCTGTTGTAAAGATAACAGCAGCAGGGCCTTATAGTATTTCAGGTATAAGTGGGAGCCTTTCGTGCCCAGGGACAGGCTGAAAGGTTCTGCACAAGTTCTTTTGCCATGATTCAGAATATTTATATTTAGCACCTTTGTGCACCCTTCTACATGCCTCAAAGACATATTGATATAAAAGGATATTAGCCCACACTAGATGCTTGTTGGTCTTCTTTAAAAAAAGAGAAGGCAACAGTAACTTGCCATGACTGGTAAACACAAACTAAAATTACAGAGAAGGAAAAAGCAAACACATGTCGTTTTTATCAATTTTAAAAGCTAGCGTAATATACACAACTAAGCAAGGAGCTAGAAAATCCCTGATCTGACTGATTATGTGGTATAAGGCTAACCACTCTGTTACATACAGCACTGATGTTACCTGTCTGTCATGGGTTTGGAGGGAAAGTTCCAGCCTATGGGGAGTGGAAGGCGGGACATCAGGAGGAGGGGCTGTACTGTATAAATATGTGATGCCTGTGTGGTGAAGAGACACACACTGAGAGAGATGCTGAGAGACACTGGGTTGTGACGAAGCAGCAGCTGGGAAGAAGAAGCTGTTGTGGGAGTCTGTGTGTCAGACAGGGTACTACTGTGTGTCAGAGTACCAACCTGATAGGTTCAGGTGTCTGTAGGTTAGCCAGAACTGATAGGTTCAGGGTCTGTGCTTTAAGTTAAGGTTCTAGGTGAACCAAACTGTGTGTGTGTATGAGTGAATCTAAGCCACGTTACTTTATGTTATTCACCTGATTGTTTTAGTTTCCTGTGTGTACTTAAATAAACCTTATTCTTTTTATTGTTTAAAAATCCATCCCTGGTCTGTGTGACTTCTTAAAGGGAATGGTTGGTGGCAGCTTAGTGTAACTGTGTGACATATCCCAGTAGGTCTGGGTTTGTCACATTGATTGGTGTCCAGCGTGTGGGATACGACTGGTCCAGTTGTCCAGCGGTCCAGCAAAGCCTTGGCAAGTGTGCCCAGAGCAAGGGGGGTCTAGTCAGGGACAGTCCGAGGCGCGTAGGTAATCTTCTAGGTGGACCTCACGGGGAGGTGCGCTAGTAGAAGAACGTGCCAACTGGGGAGACTTAGATGAAGGTGCTCTGAGGCAGCCTGATTTTGGCGGGAAAACGCTGAGGCAAAACTGCGTAGCAACAGCGAGCTAGCTTGCCAGCTGAGAGGCCCAGCAGACGGGGGTCGGCTCTGACTCGATACTGTTGCAAGTAGTGCTGAAGAACAGCAGCAATCTCTAGGGAGACCTGGTTCTGAGGCAAGAGGAAAAAAGTGGTCGTTTTATTTTGAGGCTTGACTTTTTAAAGCAGCCTGTTCTGAGGGGGGATTATGCCCTTGACTCGAAGCCAGATAGCAGACATGAGTGAAGTGAAAGACCCCCAGATTGACCAAGGTTCTGAGGATGAATTTGGCTCAGTGCAGGGTGACAGCACAGGAGAGCAGAACCAAGAACTCAGAAAAATACTCCTAGCCCAACAGCATGAACTGAGGGTGAGGGAAATGGAGGAAAGATTAGAGAGAGA